GGGGGGGGGCCCCGGGGGGGGGGCGGAGGGGGACCCCCCCCCCAAGGGGGGGGGGGGGGGGGGCACACCAGCCAGCCCAGTGAAATAAATGGTCAAGGCATGCTGCCCACCCACAGGGGCAGGGGAGCTTTGCAGGTGAGGTGGTGGGGTGGAAAGAGGTGGACGTGGCCCCTGCTGGTGCAGCTCCTGGTCACTAAGAAGTTGGACAGCCCTGGATTAGACCTTCCAGACTTGGAATTAAATGTCAAGAGGCAAGCAGATGAATCAGCTGTGGCCTTTCTTCTTTTTGAGGGATACCAACTTGTACACACAAGTAGCATGGGACGCCTGTGTATTGGCCTTAATTCTACTGTACAGCCAACTGGGGAGGGGGCAGGAAGTATAGTGGCAGACACATCAGGAAGCAGAAAGAAAAGCAGCAGAACAGAAAGGAACACAGGCCAAAGACACAACATAAAGAGCAATAGATCAGGCAAGGGAGGGGGATTGGAACAGCACTTGGGGAGGGCATGGGGTTTAATCTATGATATGCCTGCCAAAGCAAGGTTGGCCCCCCTACTCTCTTATGGCATAAACATGAGATGCCCTTTTAAAGTCCTCTCCTGCAATTAAAGCCACCAAATTTACTCTACCCCAAAGCAACTTCCCCACTGAAGAAGAAGCAGGAGAGATGGTCCTTTCTGGACACAGCTGGAGCCTTTTAGCTTTGCTTTTTGGCACGCTAGACACACACAGAACAAGAAAAGCCTGTGCAGTGAAAGGCTGCAATGAAAAATGGAATATGTGGGGAAGGGAGGAAGAAAGCAGTGGCTATGTAGGAGAGATGAACCTTGGAGTAACACTTCTGCTCTCAAAGGTAGATCACAGAGATGAGGTGAGAACACTTATCTAAAGAAAAGGTGCATGTAATGCACAAGCAGTATAGATCAGTACTGCATTATGAAACATCCTTTGCTGAAGGTTTTCAAGAAGAGGCTGGATCAGCCTCTCTCTGGCATGGTTTAAGAACATCACATTATGCACAGGGCTGGCCTAGATGATGCTTCAGATCCTATCCAACCCTATGAGTCTAGGTTATAGACAGCCAGGCAACAGACTGCTACTCCCCACATCAATAGCAAGTATTGATTCAAAGGGCTTCCAAACCTAATATCCTCAGCCCAGTTCCTAAAAAAGAAGGGCATAGGCTACAAAGCCTCTACCTCCATCACCAGTCTCAGCAAAGAACCAAATGGACCATGGAAAAATGACCTTCCCTTGCCACCAACATGCAAACACCCCCAGATTTGGTTTCCCAAGGGCAGCTTTGAGGCTAGCTGGTAGGGTGCTATTACAAGTGGGAGGTGGTTAGCATGATGTATTGTCATTGCTATTGGTGTACTCAATCAGAATCACTACTGAACTTTGGTCTCAAGAAGCTAGATTGGTGGCCCTTCATAAGCACTAAAACATGACTGGATATAGATGTAATGAATATATACATCTACGCTCATAGATATAACTTTGCTTTAAGACAGCACTAATTTCACCTCTGGTGTTGCTGTGGCGGGTGCAGAGATCCCACCTCAGGAACACAGCTGGGTATTCATATCCCTCCGCTGTTTCCACCATGTGAGGCGGGCCAGTAGGGGGTGCTCCTGTGTTGAGCCACCCA